AGAAGAAATCAGTGGGTAAGGGAAGAGATTATTCACAAATTAACCACCATCTCACACCTCCGGCCTCCCCACTTCCAGCGTAGCCCCTCACCGAGTACAGCCCCAATGATTTACATCCCCGCTATTGAATTTCAGGATTTCTTTCATACTTTTTTCATTTGTTGGTTCTGATTTCGGTGGCTAATGATTCATGATTTTAGTTTAAAGTGTTATTTTGGAAAGGAGGGTACGTTGGGTGGCCACTGGGGATTCGCTGGAAGTTGGAGGCGCTGGAAAGGAAGGGGTGAGGGTCCATGAGGTGGTTGGGCTTTGCGGAACTGGGAAGGGTTGATGACGGTTTGCTGCTCTTCGGCAGCTTTGTGGTGTGACTTGTGAGACAGTGAGAGTGAGTTGGTGGGTCATGGGTGCTGGTGAAGAATAAGCATTAAGCGGTGGCGTTTTATGTAGAAAAAGATTAATAAATCCTTTTATTGAATTATTTTATTTATTGATTAATCTTATATTTCAGGTTGCATTGTAACACTAATCTTTTATATAGATTTGTGAGGCAAAATTTTAGTTCTTGATTTAATATAATTTAATGGATTAATGGGAAGTTAAAATTGGTTACATTTAATATCAAACTTATCAAGTTTTAAATTAATAAAGAATCATGGCTAAATATTGTGTTTGAGTTTGGAGACTATAATTTGAATATCAGTTATATATTGTATATTTGTGTTATTGGTTAATTGAATACTTTGCATTTGAAATTTTATATTGATTTTAACTAGATAATCCATAAAAGTGTTAAAACTAAGATTGATATTGCCATATTTTTTAAAACGTATTATTGACAATGCACCGTATTAAACCCGTATATACTCGTACCGTATTTTTCCCGTATCCGAATTTTCACTTTGTTGTCTGCAGTAGAATAAGTGATAATAACTTTACTGGCACCATATCAAAATTTATTGGGGGATGGACTAGTCTCCAAAGGCTGTAAGGATTATATCTGTTATAGAATTTATCTGTATGGCGGATCCTGATTTACAGCTTGATTGCCCTCCCTCTTGTTTTGTTGAAATAATGAAGAGAAATGCATTCAAGCGGACTGAGAGGACCTATCCCGGACTCCATTTTTGGTTTAGGAAATTTGAGTGACCTATGAGTTGAAGGATCTTCTTCAACTCTGCGATTTGTCTTCATCTATTTTGTTGTTAGTAGTTGAATGTTATCTTCTCTATAAACAGGATAATCAGTGATATGAACGGGCCAAAGTTCAAATTTCCAAATTTGAGCAACACGAACATTAAATACGTGTATGCTTACTGTTTCTAATTAGCCATATGTTCCCAGATTTATTGATATTTTTACTCTTTGTACAAAAGCATGTGCAATTAGAGCCATAATATCAAATGTCTTCAGAAATTTGGTAATGAGCAACCTGCATATACTGTAAGCCTAAACTATGTTGGGCTCTTTACATCTGTTAGTGATAAGCATCCTGTATTAAAGGTTTATTCAAAAAGAGATAAGGGAAAGTTTGGTAGTGCACGGGGCTGTTAGGAGTTGATCATATGGGATTATCCTTAGAATTATCCTATTAATGATAATCTCAGAATTATCCTATTATTGATAAGTTAGTAGTATTATATTGTAAATATCCTCATAATATAATCATAATCAGGGGAGTTTGTTATTTGGCTTTAATTAGTTACTATTATAAATGAGGGATGAAGGAAGGGAAAAGGCAATTTTTAGGTGAGAAGTTGTGTGTAAGGTCTGGTGACTTATTCATCAGAATTGGCTTGTGGAGAGGCTACCTCTTTGTAGGATTTTCTTTTAATAATAGTTATTTCAAGTATTCACAAGAATTTGCTACAGTTTTTTCCTATTATTCTTTGTTATCTATCGATTGGTATCAGAGCCGCACGATTCCTAGGGAATGGTCAATACTAGAATGTATTTGAAGTTTGAAAATCTAGAGCGGGAAGTTGCTTCATTGAAGGGATCAGTGGAACCGTTGCAATCAAACCTGAATGTGGTCCAGGAGGACTTGAAGTCAATCATGGAGATGCTGACAGCCCAAGCAATTGGGCAGAAGAAGGATGAACGGCAGAAAGAAATTTTGGGCAGCACAAGTAAAGGATAGTCAATCGATGGGTACGAAGGAGAGTCTGCTGCGGAGCGAGAAGGGGTTCATAGGGAGTTCGTAGAAGAAAGAAGTGAGTATCGGGCTGATAACAGAGTGCGGAGATTGGATCTACCAATTTTTGAGGGAGAAGAGTCGGTGGGTTAGATAGTTCGAATGGAGAGATACTTCGTGGTGAACGGATATCAGCCTGAAGACAGGTTATCAGTAGCCATAGTTGCGTTGGAAGGGAGAGCCTTATCGTGGCTCAATTGGGTGGAGTCTCGGAGGCCATTTCGTTCGTGGGAGGCGTTGAAGGTTGAGATTACAGATCAATTCCAGGAGAACCAAGACGAGACGGGGTGCGAGCAACTCTTTAGTAGCTAATTATCGTGATCGGTTTGACGCCTTGGCTGGAATATACAGAGGAATTAGTGAGGAAGTTCTAATTGGGGGCCTTTATGAATGGGCTAAAAGAGGATATTGCTGTAGAGATAAGGCTTCTGAGACCAGTGGGCTTGGCAAAAATCATGTCTCTAGCCCAAGCTGTTGAAAGAAGGTATGCAGCTCTCATGCGAGTTGGGCCTGAGCCTAGAGTGGCCGAGTCTGTATGTTGGGAAGTAAGTGGGTTGCGTTTGGCTCCTTCAAGGCCCATAACAAATTCTGCAAGGGTAGGCATCAATTTCACATCCACTGGCGTCAGTCAGAACAATACCCAGGCTAGTTCTCATGCTTCAGAAATGGTGAAATCGGGTGGGCAAAATATACAAAGGTTTAATTCCACAATGTTTAATAGCAAAGGGGGTCAGATACGAAAATTATCTGAGGAAGAGCAATAGAGATGCTAGCAACAAGGGCTTTGTTTTAAATGTTTTGAGAACTACACACCTTCCCATATTTGCAAACAAAAACAGTTGTACATATTACTAGTTCCAGAAGAAGTAGAAGAGGAAAAAATGGCAGACATAGTGGACAGTAATGGGGAGCAGTAGACAGTGTGGATGACAGTACCATATAATTGTCGATGAAATCAATTGTGGGATTTTCTGTCAAGCACAACACTAATAAAATCAAGGGAACGATTGGGGATCGTGAAGTGGTGGTGCTGGTAGACAGTGGTGCTACTCATAATTTCATCGCGAATTCCTTGATACAACAGGAAAAGATTCTGGTGCTAGGAAGTAAGGGATTTGGAGTTCAAGTGGGAAAAGTGGTTACGGTAAAGGGGCAAGGTATTTGTAAAGGAGTTCATGTGGAGATGCAAGGCATGACATTTGTTATTGACTGTTTACCTTTTGACTTGGGTAGTGCAGATTTGGTTTGGGAGTATGCTGGCTGGAAGTAAGGAGAGATTCAGGCAAAACGGAGAACTTTTGGCTCAGTTTGGTTTGGGTAATTATTATGTAGTTTGAAAAAAGTTAAATTTGGTAGGTATTACAATGTTGGATTTGAAAATTAACAAAAATATCTCCTATGTTTGTTTATTTACTAAACATTCCTATAATAAAATATTAAACGTTAACAAAAACACCCCTAACCTACCCATTAAATACGGACAACCGATCACCACCGTCGGAGTGTTTTGGCAATTTCAAAAAAAATATTTAGAGGTGCTTAGTTAAATTAACAAATTTTAGAGGGTTTAAAAGAAATTAAAAAATATAAAATAATATTTTGAGAATAATGATATTTTACGGTTTAACTTTATAGGGAATATAACATAATTCCAATAGCGTAACAAACAGAGCCTCTTTTATCTTTTGAATGGGGAGGCCAAAGGCGTACCCTCCACGGTGATCCGACCTTGAACAAGATTCTGGTGTCATTAAAAGCTATGTTGAAGGCCTTACAATCTGAGGGAGGAGGTGTGATCCTTGAGTTTTGTTCATTATCCTTGCAAAATACAGTAGAGGTGCTGCGTCTTGTTGAACCTGTGAACCAGCTATTAGTCAAGTTTGAAGATATCTTTAACATGCCATTGGGTCTTCCACCAAGTAGAGCAAGGGAACATGCGATAGTGCTGCAACTAGGGACTGCACCCCCCAATGTGAGACCATATCGCTATCCATACTTTCAAAAAAAATGAGATTGAGAGGCTGGTGAAAGAAATGCTACTAGCAGGGGTTATTCGGTCTAGTTCAAGCCCTTTTTAAACTCCAGTATTGTTGGTAAAGAAAAAAATATGGTAGTTGGCATTTTTGTGTGGACTATAGAGCCTTGAATAAGGTTACAGTTCTGGATAAATATCCTATTCTGGTCATTGAGGAATTGTTGGATGAGTCAAGTGGTGCATGTTAAATAATCTAAAGAAATAATAAAAAGAGGAGGCTAGGGTTTCATTGATACTGCACAATGCAAATGAATACAAAAAGTATGATTTAACCTAAATACAAAGATATATATAGGCTAAACAAAGGAAATAATGAAAAGACAGATCTACCTTTAATAAACAATAAAACAAAATAACCCATATTTCTTAACATCTCCCCTCAAACTCACGATGCGGCAGCTACAAGCATCAAGAGTTTGCCAACTAGAAAACGAAAACGGGAAATAGAATGCGACTTGGTAAAGAAATCTGCAATCTGCAAAGAAGAAGAAACAAAGGGCAAGGTAATGGTGCCATGCTTGAGGTGATGACGAGTAAGGTGACAATTGATCTCAATGTGCTTAGTTCGTTCATGAAAAACCGAGTTGTGAGCATCTGAATGAACTCTGGTTGTCACATACATAGGAGTGGGATGAGAAAGAGAAACGCCTATATCTGCAAGTAACCAACGTAACCAAACAATCTCTTTGGTAGTAGATGCCATAGCACGATATCTGCTTTGGTTGAAGAGTGAGAAACAAGGATGTTTTCTTGCTCTTCCAAGAAATAAGAGAATCACCCAAAGATACAGAAACCAGTAACAGACTTGCGATCCGTGGGATCACTGCCATGATCAGCATCAGAGTATGCACGTAGCTCCAAGGAAGAGGTGGATGAAGTAAAGACTCTAAAGATGTACCCCGAAGATAAGCAAAATACGAAGAACAGCTGCCCAATGAACTGTAGTAGGAGAAGCAACAAACGACTAACAACATGAATAGCATATGCAATATTGGACGAGTAATAGTGAGATATAACAACTCCCAACAACAGTACGGTATAAAGTAGGATCTGACAAAGGTAAACCATTAGAAGAGAATACTTTGCGTTAACCTCAATCGGAGTATCGACAGTCTTATTATCAGTAAGCCTAGCCGCTCAAGAATATCTGAACATATTTCGACTGAGAGAGAAGATAACCTCTAGGTGAGTAGGCTACCTCAATACCCAAGAAATATCGTAGAGAACCCAAATCCTTCATTTCAAACAATTGAGCTAACTCTGTTTTCAAAACTGAAATACCATCAATATCATCACCAGTAATAATCATGTCATCAACATATAAAGACAGAATGATACGCCTACATAAGTGCACTTAACAAAAAGAGCAGATCATGACTACTAGAAGCAAATCCAAGGGAAGAGATCACAATAGAAAATTTCTCAAACCAAGCACGAGGTGCTTGTTTAAGACCATATAACGTCTTCAGCTTGCAAACATACCTAGAATCATGTGAAACACCAGGAGGGGGCGCCATATAAACTTCTTCTTAAAGATCTCCATTCAAGAAGGCATTTTTAACATCAAGTTGGGATATGCCACTGACGAACCGAAGCTACTGCAATAAAAGTACGAATAGTAGTCTTTTGGAACATGAGCAAATGTCTCCTCATAACCATACCATACTGTTGAAAGTACCCTTTTGCAACCAACCTAGCTTTGTATCGCTCAAATATCCATCAAAATTAGTCTTGATCTTATACACCAACGACAACCAACAACAGTCTTACCAAGAGGTAGAGGAACCAAATCCAGTACCTGTCTTATGCAAAGCAGAAAGTTCCTCATCCAAGCTTGCTGCCAAAGAGGATCACGAATTGCCTCTTTATAGGAAGAGGCTCAAAGAGACAATGAATAGAAGCTAAAAAAGAAGCAAAAGATAAAGAATAACAGAATAAGCAAAATCTGGTAACTTTGTGGACTTACGAATGTGTATGGATTGACGTAGAGGTGGATCCACAATCCAGACGAAGCTTGAGTGACCATAGGAAAAGAGGGAGCTTCAGGTGTGGGAAGTAAAATGTCAGTACCTGCAGATGATCAGTACTAGGAACCTGAGATGACAAACTATCAGAATCCTCAGAAAAAGGATCTATACGAATTAGATCAGATCTAGTCAAGGTATGAGTAGTGGATGGAATAGAAAGAAAGGTTATGCTTAAGAAAAACAACATGACGGGACACATAAAGTTTCCGAGTTATTGGATCAAAACAACGATACCCCTTTTTACCTTCACCATAACCAAGAAAGACACAAATAGCAGATCGAGAGGATAACTTGCTGCGTTCTACATGAGGACAAAGAACGAAACAAGTACAACCAAAAACTTTAAAGGAAGAATATCAGGGGCATAGCCGTACAACTTTTCGAAAGGAAAAAAACCTAAATATGAGAAGATGGAATTGTATAATCAAACCTACACAGTAAGAACAACTTCACCCAAAACACACTAGGAACAGAGGCAGACAATAAGAGAGAACGAGCAGTTTCAACAATGTGCCTATGTTTTCTTTCAGCAACACCATTTTGCTCAAGAGTATCTGTACACGAGGTTTGGTGAACAGTTCCATCTAATGCAAGCAACTCACAAATTATTAGAAGTGATTCCACCCCAAATCACACCTAAAACATTTGATAACAGTAGAATGTTGAGTTTTGACAAGAGCTCGAAAGGACGTATTATATCGCAAAGAATTCAGAACGATGTTTCATTAAATAAACCCAACAATAACGAGTATGATCATCAATAAAAGAAACATAATATCGAGATCCTTCTTTTGTGGCAACAGGAGAAGGTCCCCGTACATCAAAATGAATCAAATCAAATGGAGAAGAAGAAACAAAAATACTTCAATTAAAGGTAAAGCCAAAAATTTTGCCAGTTTACATCTACTACATAGAAATATCACAAGTTTGTAAATTTCCTAAAGCCCCTGTGGATGCCAAAAATCTCAAATGAGAAGATGAAACATGACCAAACGAGAATGCCATAAATAAAAACTAGAAGAAGAAGGACTCAAACGAAAAGAAGGCAAATCAACACTAGTAGCGGCAACATCAGCACTAGTAGCGGCAGCATCAGCATTAGTAGAGCAGCAACTGGCACTTTTAACTCATCCAAAATATATAGTCCCCCCTTCCTACGCCTGTCCCAATCAGCTTCCGAGACTGTAGATCCTGCACATAACAAGAAGAAGAGGAAGGTGAATAAATTACAAATCACATAACTGACCAACAGAAGCAAGATTTAATGTAAGTTTGGAATATGATAAACATTAGAGAGAGACAAGTGAGGTGTGATAACAGAACCAACACCTGCTAAAGGCATAGGAGTGCCATCAGCAGTCATGACAGGAATAGAAGACGAAGGAGACACAAAAGCAAAAGATGAAGAATCTGAGACAGAGAATCATGAAGACACAAGTGATGTGAAGCACCAGAATCCAACCTCGATGTGATGCCTAAGAACTATGAGGGAACTGACCTACGGAAGAAGAAGCAGACATAACTTGTGGTTGTAAGGAGAGAAACTTCTGAAATGCTCAACCAGGTACTAGGATCGGTGAAAGGACCTGATGAGACTACTGTTGCAGTATTAGACTGTGGTGGTTTTAACCCTGAGATGGTATGAGCATTAGATTGGAGGTTGTTAGGCTTCAAGCTTGAGATTGCTGCTGCGATTGATTCTGCTGCTCAACTTAGGACACTGAGCCTTCCAATGCCTTTTGCTTATAGAAACTGCACTCATCAAAGGCAACCCTTGTGTAAGGCTTATTCTGATTATTAAAGACTAGCTTCGAAGGTACTGCTAACACAGAAGGATTAGAAGTAGAAGTAGAAAGAATTCCCTTTTCAGAATGAGACTAAGACGTATTTTTCAGCCAATAACTCACTGACAACTGAGTCAACATAAGGCATTGGAGAACGATGCAAAATTGAACCTCTAAGTCCCAAAATCACTGTGAAGTGCGTTAAAAACTATACCAACCGTTGCTGCTCCTCCACGAGCAATATAGGCATCACATGCCTTTAATTCTATAGATTCTGTAAGAGCAATGATCCCAAAGATCTGCATAGCAGAATAAAACTCATGAACACTCATATTCTCTGCTGAAGAGCTCGTATGTCATTCTCCAATAATACTGCTTTGCAAAATTTGACTGAGTAAATAACATTTGCAGATGATCTCAAACCTCCTTTGCTGTCTCATACTCGCTAACTGTGTACCTATGGAATGCCCAACAGAATTGTTAATCCAAGTAATAATTTTTGCATGATTGCTTCACAGGCACTATCAAAGCATCATAACCTCATCAGTATTCTTAGGTTTCACAGAAGTTCCACTAACATATCCCCACATCTTTTTACCCTTAAGAAAAATTTCTCATCGCATAACTCCAATACGAATAGTTCTTGCATCTAAACTCACAGACTGAAGCGAATCGTCTCTTTCAGTAGCCATATTCAAAAAACAAAGAAAACCAGAATGCAAAAGAAAGGCAAATGAAATACCAGATTGCAGAAATTGAACGAATACCAACGAAATACCAGATTGCAGAAACTGAACGAATACCAGTTGGATCCGCGTAAGCTGTGTTTAAGATTAAGCCTCGTCCCATGAAACCTTGCTCTGATACCATGTTAAACAATCTAAAGAAATAATAAAAAGAGGAGGCTAGGGTTTCATTGATACTGCACAATGCAATTGAATACAAAAAATATGATTTAACCTAAATACAAAGATATATATAGGCTAAACAAAAGAAATAATAAAAAGACAGATCTACCCTTAATAAACAATAAAACAAAATAACCCATATTTCTTAACAGTGCAGTGATTTTCTCAAAGCTGGATTTGAAGTTTGGCTATCACCAAATTTGGGTAAAACCAGAAGATGTGGAGAAAACGGCTTTGCGCACACACGAAGGCTATTACGAGTTTTTGACCATGCCGTTTGGACTTACGAATGCCCTAGCAACTTTTCAAGCTTTGATGAACGATGTCTTTCGCCCATATTTGCGTAAGTTTGTGTTGATATTTTTTGATGATATATTGATCTACAGTAGGAGCATAATTTCTCATATAGAGCACTTGCGAGTGGTATTTGAACTCTTAAGACAGGTTGAGTATTTGGGGCATGTGGTGTCAGATAAGGGTGTATCAGCTGAATATTCCAAGATTTCCAACATGCTTGAGTGGCCTAATCCTAAGAATCTCAAAGTGCTTCGTGGCTTTATAGGATTAACAAGGTATTACAGTGCTTTGTTCGAAACTACGATAGTATTGTTGCTCCATTTACTAAGTTACTGAGAAAGGATGCTTTTGAGTGGAGTTTGGAAGCTCAAACTGCATTTGATTCCTTAAAGCAAGCAATGGTTTCCATTCCCGTTTTAGCTGTACTAGATTTTTCAAAACTTTTTGTGGTGGAAGCGGATGCATCAGGATTTGGTATTGGTGCCGTCCTTATGCAAGAAAAGCACCCAATTGCGTACTTTAGTCAGGTTTGTTAGTGTTTAAGCTAATGCCGGATGTATCAAAGAAAAAGAGAATAGAAGAGAACTGATTCAAATTCATTAACCAACAAAAACCTGCATATAACATGCTTTGGCTTACTGTTACAACCACTATTAGTAACTTTACATAATCTCAGCTAATCCACACACATCTAACAACCACATTACAAAATTAGCTAAGTCATCAAATTCAAAATTAACACTTAAGTTTGCAATAAGGCTTAAACTACTGAACTCAGAAACAGCACCATGCACGTCACCTGTACAGCAGCAAAATAGCTTCAAACTTTCAGTTTCAGCAAACCATACTTCCAACACAGCATCAACCTTTAACACTCCACCTTGATGCTTTGGCTGGAAACACCAAGTTCTAGTCTTAAGGCTTCAAACTTGGATTTCCACAAGGCCTTTGTCATAATGTCAGCAACTTGCTCTTCTCCTCTACAGTGTATTAAACTCACTTCACCACACTGTTCAGCCTCCAATACTGCATGATATTTAATCTTGATATGCTTGGTTCTACCGTGGAGCACAGGGTTCTTTGCCATGGCCACTGTTGACTGGTTATCATATAGGATCAATGTAGGACCACCCTGCACTTGGTGCAAATCATCCAACATCTTCCTAAGCCACACAGCCTGGTTCACTTCTGCTGTATCATAGACATATTCAGCTTCAGCAGTAGACTGTGCCACAGTCTCCTGCTTCCTTGACAGCCAGCAAATTGCACCCTTATTCAGATAAAATACATAACCAGAGGTGCTCCTAGCATCATCCAGGGATCCACCCCAATCACTATCAGTATACCCCACCAATTTCAGACTTTCAACTTTCCTAAAATAGATGCCTAACATGATGGTTCCATTTACATACCTCAGCACACGTTTTGCAGCCTTAAAGTGTAGTTCACTTGGGTTGCTCATAAACCTTGAAAGATAACTTGCAGTGAACATAAGATTAGGTCTAGTGGCTGTCTAATACAGCAAACTTCCCACCAAGCTTCTGTATTTCCCTTCATCTACCCTCTTTGCACCATCAGTTTTGCTTAGTTTTAGGTTGGAAACCAATGGGGTATCCACTGGTTTACAATTGTCCATTCCAAACTTCATGAGAAGCTCGGTTGCATACCTCTGTTGGCACACAAAAATCTCACCTGCAGTTTGCCTTATCTCCATGCTTAGGAAATATTTCATCAATCCTAAGTCAGTCATTTCAAACTCAGTTTGCATGGCTGACTTAAACTGGTCCAACTCTTCAGGATTGCTTCCAGTCACCAATAAGTCATTAACATAGAGAGAGACCACAGCCAAACCCCTTTTAGTTTTCCTTATGTAGAGAGTGTGTTCATTTGGGCTTCTAGAGTAACCAAGGCTGCACAAATAGTCATTTATTCGGCTGTACCAGGCTCTAGGAGCCTGCTTCAAGCCATACAAGGCTTTCCTTAGCAGATACACATGATCCTCTTTGCCCTCAACCTTGTAGCCTTCCGGTTGCTCCACAAAAATCTCCTCTGAAATCCACCCATTCAAGAATGCCGATTTGACATCCAGCTAGAAAATTTTCCAGTTAAACTGAGCTACAAGTGCCAACAGCAGCCTGATTATGTCTTGTGTAGCTACCAGGGCAAATGTCTCTAAAAAATCAATACCTGGTTGCTGTGCAAAGCCCTTCACCACCAGCCTTACTTTATGCTTGTAGATTGAGCCATCAGGATTTATTTTCAGTTTGAAGATCCATTTCACCTGAATTACTTTCCTTTTTTTCAGGTCTTGGTACCAATTTCCAGGTTTGATTTTTTTTAATCATGCTGAGTTCCTCCTGCATTGCAGCCCTCCACAATTCAGATTTTGTAGCTTCAAGATAACATCTTGGTTCCACCACTGCCATATTACACCTTTCGTATACATCAGCCAATGATCTTGTCCCTCTAACAGCATGTTCTTCTTCCTCATCTGAATCCGCCTCTTCATTTAGCCCCTCATTCATCTCTTCTTGTCTTGATTTAGCCTGCACATCAACTCTCTTTTCTTCCCAGTTCCAGACTCCACCTTCATCAACCTTTATGTCTCTTGTGATTACAATCTTCCTAGACTTAGGAACATAAACTCTATAGGCTTTAGAGTTGCTGCTATAGCCTATAAGTATCCCAATTTCAGCCTTATCATCCAATTTGGATCTTTTGCTTGCTGGGATCATTACATAGGCTATACTTCCAAATATTTTCAAGCTCCCCACTGCTAGTTTGATTCCACTCCACGCCTCAATTGGTGTTTGATGTTTGACTGCCTTGGTGGGCAGCCTATTTAGGAGAAAAACTGCTGTATTAACAACTTCAACCCAGAATACTTTAGGAAGATTTTTTTCAGCCATCATGCACCTAGCCATTTCCATAATGGTTTGGTTTCTTCTTTCAGAAACACCATTCTGCTGGTGCTGTGAATTGCTGCTGAATTCCAGCTTCACTGCAAATTTTGCTGAATTCATTTTAGGTGTACTCTGTCCCATTGTCACTTCTTACGGTTTTGATCAAGGTTCCAACTTCATTCTCCACCAGCAACTTGAATTTCTTAAACACAACAGCTACTTCATTTTTCTGCTTAAGAAAATACACCCAAGCCACCCTTGAGTAGTCATCAATGAAGAGTACAAAGTACTTGCTGCCATTTAAAGATTTAGACTTCATAGGACCACACACATCTGTGTGGATCAATTGCAACTTGTGACTTGCTCTCTAGGCTTGATCTGAAGGAAATGAAGGCCTGCTAAGTTTGCCAAGTTGGTAGGCTGTACATAAGGACTTTTTCTCTTCTATTTCAGGTAGCTCTAGCACCATTTCTCTTGCCTTAACTTCTTTGATTCCCAAGTAATGAAAGTGGCCAAACCTTTTATGCCACAAGTCAGACTCATCAACCCTGCTAATTAGTGCTAAGTTTCCTGGTTTTTTCCACTCTACCGGGAAGCTTTTTCCTAGCATCCTAGCACTCATCAATTCATTTCCCTCACAACCCATTATTACACAAGCATGATTTTGAAAATGTAAGGTGTAGTTTTTCTCCAACATTTGACCTACACTTAACAGGTTTTTTTGCAATTTCAGGAACAAATAAAACACTTGAAATGATCTTGGTACTTACTTGAGTTTGGACAGCCACATCTCCGATCCCTTTTGCCTCCACATACTCACCATTTCCCACCTTGACCTTGGAGTTGTATGTTCTGTCTATCCTGACAAAATTCTCCAGTTTTGCTGCCATGTGGTTAGTACAACCACTGTCTATTAGCCAAACATCACCGGTGGTCTGCATGGAGTAGCATGAAGCTATAAACAGCTGCTCGGGTTCACTGCTCTGCTGCTGGTCTTCTGCACTTTGTGCTTGCTTGATGGCTGTGCACTTTTGTTCTTGCACACTTTTTCAATGTGCCCGAACTGTTTGCACCTCTTGCATTGGATCCCAGGTCTAAACCAGCACTTACTATCTGGATGTCCTTTCTTTTTGCAGTGGGAACATGGTGGATAATTTCTTCCTCCACTCAGTTTTCCCCACTGTCCATCAGTTCTCTCTTTTCCTCTCTTATCTCCAACATATTTCCTATTTCTTCCCTTCAATCCCTTTTGAGTAGCCATCATAGCACCTTCATTAGAGTCCTCTTACCTCATCAACCTTCTCTGTTCTTGGGCCTGCAGGGCATGAACCAATTCGGTGAGGCTGATTTGGGAGAGGTCCTTTGAATCTTCTAAGGAAGATATCTTGGACTCAAATCTTTCCGGTAGGCTGACTAACACTTTCTCAACTATCATCTTGTCACTCATCTCAACTCCCAATAATCTAATCTTGTTCACTACACTCATAAGCCTATCTACATACTCTTTAACCTTCTCTACCTGCTGCATTCTTAGCATTTCGAACTCTCTTCGCAGGTTCATAACTTGCATATTTCGGGTTGTATCACTCCCCATGAACTCCTCCCTCAATCTATCCCAAGCTTCCTTTGCAGTTTCACACGCCATTATCCTTGTAAATACAAGGTCTGTTACTGCAGAGTGTATGTGAGAAAAATCTCTTGGAGCTTTGGACATCTCCTCCTCATACATCCTCATTTGATTCAGAGTTGGGTTTGGACCAAGCTGCGGTGGCTGTTTCTCCTCTTCCACATACTGCCACAGCCCTTGCCCTCTTAGGTAGGCTCTCATTCTAACAGCCCAGATGTGATACTGGTCCCCATTGAACACTGGAGGTGAGAGAGAAGCCGATTGAGTTGCCATGCGAAACCAGGTTGGAGTTTTTCTGGAAAGTGTTGTTCTTGCGGAAGGTTGAAGTTTGATGGTGATTCAGGATGTTTTGAGTGAGTTTGTTAGATGCTGGTTTGTTAATGTAGCTCTGATACCATGTTAGTGTTTAAGCTAATGCCGGATGTATCAAAGAAAAAGGGAACAGAAGAGAACTGATTCAAATTCATTAACCAACAAAAACCTGCATATAACATGCTTTGGCTTACTGTTACAACCACTGTCAGTAACTTTTACATAATCTCAGCTAATCCACACACATCTAACAACCACATTACAAAATTAGCTGAGTCATCAAATTCAAAATTAACACTTAAGTTTGCAATAAGGCTTAAACTACTGAACTCAGAAACAGCACCATGCACGTCACCTGTACAGCAGCAAAATAGCTTCAAACTTTCAGTTTCAGCAAACCATACTTCCAGCACAGCATCAACCTTCAACAAGGTTTTATCAGCTAAGGCAAGGCTGAAATCAATCTATGAAAGAGAGCTAATGGCTTTGGTTTTAGCTATCCTTAAATGGAAATATTATTTATTGGGGAGGAAATTTATTGTTAGAACATATCAGAGAAGTCTACATTTTCTATTGGGGCAGCGATTGACTACTCTAGAACAATAAAAATGGTTGTCAAAACTACTGGGGTTTCATTTTGAAATCCAAATTCGACCAGGAGCTGAAAACTGTGCAGCTGATGCCCTCTCTCGGTGGATATCTCCTATGGAGTTGCAGGCTCTGTCTGCACCTTTCATGGTGCAGGAAGATGACCTTGAGAAAGCAGTGCATTCTGATGTTAAGTTGCAAAGGATAATTACTTACTTGTTTGCTGATGAGAAGTCACATTTGGGTTATACCTTACAGCATGGTTGTTTGTTCTTCAAGGGCAGGATAGTTTTGCCTAAAGATTCGCATTGGCCCAATCTATTTTTGAAGGAGTTCCACAGTTCACCTTGTGGTGGACACTCTGGTTTTTATAAAACCTTCAAACAGTTGGCCTTGAATGTTTTTTGGGAGGGCATGAAGAAAGACGTACAAACTTTCGTGGCTGGTTGTGATGTTTGCCAAAGGAATAAGTATGAAGCATTGTCTGCAGCAGGTTTATTGCAACCCTTGCCACTGCCTTCTAAGGAATAAGTATGAAACTTTCGTGGTTTTTATTGCAGTTTTAATGGTATTTTGCAAATTTGATTTCCTTTCCTAAGAGTTTATTTTTTATAGGACTACCAGGGAGAGTTTTTCTTGTAACTCTAGGATTTAAGTATGTATTGTCTACATGCTTTTCTGCACTATCTTTTGCTTTTTGCACTTACAGCTTGCTACAATTTCTGGGATTCTTAACGATGTAAGGTTTCTTTTGACAACATAGTCTGACTGTTTGTTCATTTTCCTACGATTTTTATACAGTGATTTGACCTTTAACAAGTTGGAAGGAGAAATCAGTAGCACAGAAGTACACCCAAATTTCATGTAAGCAATGACATATTAAAGTCTTGTATTTTCAAATGGATTTGTTGCACTTTTATCATAAAGTATTATCTTATATTAAATTGTTTCATGTGGCTTCTTATCAGCTTCCTCAGTCACAGCATGTTGACTGGAAACATACCAGGTTCATTCCTGACCAGCACAGGAAGCTATATGTATGTTCCTAAACTTAGAGCTTGGATTCCATGTTTGGATGCTTGCCATACAAATATTTTGTTTTTAGTTCTAACTATTTCTGTCAGGTTTCAATTTAGAGGTTCAAATAATTAATAGTAAATTCTTGGATTATCTTTGCACATATAGTCGTTTGCCTTGTGTTTTATGTGTGTGTATATATACTCTTCTGTGATTGATTTTTCAATTAATGGTATTGTCATAATTCTGGCAACAGATAACTACTTGTTGCATCTGTATTGAACGCCACAGTGGCAAACAATACCCTGCAAATCCGCTTGTGTTGGGCTGGGAAAGGGACTGTATATATTCCAAATTCTAGAAATTATGGTCTTCTCATATCTGCTATTTCTGTATGTCGTGGTAAGTCATGCATTTTTTTAATCAGTCTTCCTTCCAAGTGAGCTGCTAGTGTTACAACTTTGGTCCTTCGGGTCATATTGATTTGTCCACCGGTTACATAGTATGGACGGAGAAACAATTTAAACCTACTTTGTTCTGTTATATGACTTATCTAATCTCGTGGAAAGACATTCGAGTATATTAGATGAAAATTGGAGTTATATATTGTTCAGTGGTCACCAAATCAATTATAAACATAATCATGGTTTGTACTCATAAGTAAGATAGTTTCCGCTCTCTTGAGTGGTTTTTCTACTTGATGTGTAAAAGACATCTCCCAAATCAAGTGCTAACCCTCTAAAATGTTTCATATATATACTATAATAGTATAATACTTGGGTTTGTTGAATATATTTTCCTTCACCACCTTAATTTGTTCTCTGATAAGCATAAGCTTTTGGTGTTAATTTCAGGTTTCAGATCAAATTGTGACGGTGAGAAATAAACAACTATGTTATAATGATAAGTTTTCTGCAACTAACAATGTTTACTATGATTTCTTTTAATAGTCATCCCTTTCTTGTTTCTTCTTGGCACAAATATGACTTACCTGAGCCTAAAGAAACAAATAATGTACCTATTGTGATTGGAGTTGTCATTTTGGTGTTATGCATTCTTCTTATCATCCTGGGTTTCTTCTCTTGGAGATATATACTATTTTCAGCATCAAAACACAGGAGAACAAGGTATGGGCTAAATCTTATGTTTTATTCAAACTTGAGCAATAAATAAGTGAGTGCATGCCACGAACAAATGCATTATAAGTACAAAACAGTTATACATAGTTTTGGCTCAGTTGTCCTACAAATCATAATATGACTTGTAGATGATCTCTCTTCTCATTCAATGTTACTGGGCAGATCTTAAGGGGCTAGATGCCTAGATCTACAAACAGGAACCTTCACTTTCAGACAGCTAAGAGCTGCTACTAACAATTTTGATGCTGCTAAAAAGTTTGGAGAAGGTGGTTTTGGATCAGTATACAAGGTACTAAACAACTATATTTTTATTGAAGAATGATAATCCCAGTAGTGTCAATGCAGTAGAAAATGTTTATACATATATACCATTGAGAAACAATATCCTTGAAATTGACATCAAAAAGTTTATTGTGAGGGAATTTACTGGATGACCTTTGGCTATGGTTGATGAAAAATCTAAATATTTTGTATTTCATTTTTGAACCTCAATGATGCAATAACAAATGTTGAAAATTAAAAAAAGAGCACACCTAGTCAAGGGGCATACCCCTCATAATCATAGTGAAAGAAGACAAAGTAAAATATATATATTCAAATCCTACTCAAAATATCAGCAAAGGAAAAGACAATGTCCTTCAACAATTAATAAGCAAAAGATCAACCTCGTCTTTAGTTTCTTTTCTCAACCAGGTTTAAAACTTTCTCTAACAAATTCAAAAATTTTATTTTGAATAATATGTGGAAGTAAGGCACTTATTATATATCTTCACTCTTAAGGGTACTTTGTTCATTTGATACCGCTATTTTAGCTTAGCAGCTTAGATTGTTTAATTCAGTAACTTTATGTTGGATTTCATAACTAACACTCAATTAGTCAGTTTTAAGCTATTTAATCACACAATTCAACATTTAGTGTAAGATTGTAGATATGAACTTGTACATATAATATTTACTCAATGCAGGACCAACTATCAGGCGATACTGTTGTTGTTGTGAAGCAGCTTTCTTCCAAATCAAGGCAAGGAAATTGAGAGTTTGTGAATGAGATAGGCCTGATTCCTGGTTTGCAACACCCAAATCTTGTAAAGCTTTTTGGATGTTGTGTTGAAGGAAATTAGCTATTGTTGGTTTATGAGTACGTGGAAAATAATTGTCTTGCACATGCACTTTTTGGTAAGTAGGGTGATGTTTGAATTGCTTTTGCATAAAGGAATACTTTCTGTTAATACATTTGTTGATTGGTTAATTGGATTGATATTTAAGTAGGTGTTCTCCTCTTCAGAGCTTTTTTCAGCTCGGTTGGGTGAAAACCAGGAATCAGGCCTACGTAAAAAATCAACACTCAGGATAGTTCACAGAGACATAAAAGCTACAAATGCACTACTTGACTGGGAATTAAATGCTAAGATTTCAGAGTTTGGATTAGCTAAGCTCAAAGAAGAGGAGAACACCCATATTAGCACTAGAGTTGATGGAACTATGTGAGCTACACTAAACACTATTGTAGAACATGATTTCTAATCTCAAAATATATAATGTTGTGTGACGGTTTAAGTTTTTGACATTTTGAATGATTTTAGAGGCTATATGGCTCCAGAATATGCACTATGGGGTTACCTCACAGAAAAAGAAAATGTTTATAGCTTTGGGGTGGTTGCTTTGGAAATTGTTTGTGGGAGAAGCAATGCAAGTTACAGGGCGCAAAATGGATGTGTTTGCCTTCTTGATTGCGTAAGTTTCATGTGAATATATGATTGTTGCTATGTATGGTTTTTAAGTTTTTTGTTTTTGTTTTTTTTGGGCTTGAATGCTTGTAGACCTTAATTTGCAACAGAAAGGAAACTTGATGGAGATATTGGATCCAAAGTTGGAGTATAAGTTTGACAAAGAAGAGGCTGAAAGAATGGTAAAAGTGGCTCTATTATGCTGTAATGCATCTCCAACACTGAGGCCTACTATGTCAGAGGTGTTTAGTATGCTTGAATCACAAACCATCATTCAAGAAGTGATCTCATTTCCTAGCATCTATGGTAGTGATTTCCAATTACAACAACTTGACCAGAATTCAAGAGGATGCTCGGCCACCCCAAACTTTTCTTCAGATAAGACGTGGGTCGGATCTTCCACCACATCTGCACATGATCTCTACTCTATCAATTTAGAGTGCATAATGTCACGACCTAACTTCTTTGCTAAGTTCGTGCGGCCTTAACC